GCCCTTTACCGTCCTCGCGTTAGTGGTTCGCACGCGTGGGCCCTGGGAGGGCCGGACTGCAGCCCAGGCAGACCCTGAGTGAGCGGAGAGCTGGAGGCCACCTGCAGCTCCCACGAGGGCCCTGAGCAGGGCAGCAAGCCCTTTCTTAAAGGATCTGAGTGGCCCATCCCCATGTCTGCCACAACGGGTACCTTTTAATGTGAAGGTAGGAAATTAGTAGGGTTTTAATTTCTGTGAAAGTTGTCATGATTATGGTGGTGTGTGCTTTGTCATGTTTTAAGATGTGTGAAACATGTAAGAGAATTCTGTGATCACATATATGAGATTGACTTACTGGTATTAGATTTACGAGAGTTACATAAGTGCTTATAAAGATTTCACTGGCTAGATGTTAGCTATATTACAATTGTTGCTGTAATTTAAAATATCTAAGAAAATTTGATTAGTTGAGTATGCAAATTATGTTAAATATTTATAAAGTATTTGGTCTGTTAAGCTTGTGAATTAGTTATATCATAGAGAATAAGTGACAGTGTCCATATTTTCATGCAAAGATCACAAGATTTTTAAATAGACCAACAAGATTTATAAATTGAGCTTAAAGGCAAGAAATACAAGTTTACAACGTTAACATATTTCGCCTATTAACAAACTAGCATGTCAATTACCAGTTTTTGTTGTAGCTTTTATTCACTCCAGGGCTTTCACTGTTCCCTTTATGTTCGCTGATCCTCAAAAATGTAACAAGGACCCTGACTTCCCACTTGAATCAGTTCTAGATTTTCCAGTCTGTAGACTTTCTATTTGAATATATACTAACAGCTCAGATTCGGCATGTTCAAAACTTTTAATTCTTTACCAGTACTTGGGCTTTCTCAACGACTTCATTTTTGTGGAAGATTGTTTTTTTACTATCCCAAACTAGAAACGTGGTGCCCATAGTCCCTCTTGACTCTCCTTCTATTCCACATACTCAGGCATCAAATTGTTACTTTTTTCTAAGGTGTTTTAGCTTTCCATCACTCTTCCGTATTCTCTAGACCTGGCTTAACAAATGTTTCTTCTAAATTATTGCCACAGTCTTGCAAGCTTCCAGTCTCTTTGCATTTAATCCATTTTGCATACCGGTCTTCCATATTTTGGAACCTTCAGTGATTCACTAATTCTTCCATGTCATGGAACAGAATAATAACATTTTAGAATTGAATAAAATCTTTAGAAAATAATACAGTGTAATCCCCTTGTCCCTCCCTTTAAAGGAAGAGAAGAATGAATCCCAGCGCTATCACATGACTTTGATGTCACATTGATAACTGGTGACAAAGCTAGAATAAATCTCAAGGCTTATGGAGCATGTCTTAGAATTCCTTATCTCCCATTGTACTTGATGTTAAAACTATTCATTTGGCAGGTACACTGTAAGTTTTTGTTGATATGTAAATTAAGCCATCTTTGACTCTATGCTAATAAGCACTCTTTCTGTTGCAAATGACAGAAATACAATGCATAAGCAAGAAAGTTAATTTTTTGGC